GCAAAATCTAAGACCATTACTTGATGTATTTTAATCAATACGGTAAAGTTTTTTTAAGACGCTATTAAAAAATTGTTTTGCAAGAGACCTGAGTACTAAAGACCTTTTAATAATATTAAAGAGTAAAACACATTAAATATTTTATAATTTATTGAAAGAGTTTCGTCGACATACTCAAAAAAAAGGACTAAAATTTCTAAAAATATAATGAACAATTATTTATGTGAAAACGACTATAAAAAACTTAACTAACATTTTTTAATAAATATACATATAAAATGAGTGCGTGTGATTGTGTGTGTATGTGTGTGTAAATTGGCTGGTACAAAAAAAGGTTTGTTTGGATTAGAATATTTTTTAACTTACTGATAAATATGCTAACAGATATTATTCGTTTCATCTAACCAATCCAATATACAAACAGAAAGTGAATTATAAACTAATGTTAAGTTACAAACCACAGTATGAAAAAAAATCAGATGTAGCCTGAAAGGATTCGTTAATAGTGGAATAGCTTGTGATACTAGGCTCACGTGAAGGTCACCTGTTCATTCCTAACAACAAGTGCAGCTCTACTAGGTGGAAGAGAGACACTACAATAGAGCAATAATAGCATGGCTCTTCTGTACCTGAAGGAGTTTTCCCACCAATTCTCTTTTGGAACAGTGCGCGCAGCGCTAGTCATTAACTTGAATAGTCCAACTGCAGTAAGCAACGACAGCGTTTAGTATTAGTACAAGCAGTATTTTTTGCGACTCCAGCTGTACAAGTAAAACACAGAGCGCATATCAAATTTATACAGTAATCAGTTCGATATTCTCCAATTGCCGGTGTCGACTTTGTTAAAGGGGCAGGATTTTTAACGATTATTTGTATTCGAATTTCTTGTTCTAAATTATCATGTTAAATCAGATAATACCAGAATATACCGAAGAAGAAGTACTCGCAGACATTGAAAAAGGTATACGGGATCTTTTAGCTTCACGATCCCTTCCCCGTGCAACTTTTAATAATAAAAGCCTCGTCTTACCAATCCATCAGAGCTACGGTGACAACAGTGCCTCTAAAGTTAAGGCACACAAGGTAAAAGACCATTTCAATATAGAATTATTACGGGTTCTTTATCGCGGGTTACGATGGGATAATATAGATTTACCGTGTATTTCCTAAGTATAAGAATATTTGGGAACGAAGAGCCATCAGGCAAAAAGTGTAAGAAAAATCGTGCACTTTTCGAGAGGAGGCGCCCTTCTACAAAGGGTAGGTGTAACAAAGATAGAGAGAGAGAAGAAGAAAGCCAGCCAGCGCAGGGATCTGCATAAATGGCAGATCGATGTAGATAGTCAGTATTTATTAAATCAGTAATTATAAAATAGTATAACCAACCAATATTACAAAATATGCTGAATCTTAAAAAGAAAATAAGATAGAGCAAAAATATGGAGTTTTACAGGTTTTTTTTGGAGAAAATAACATCGCGACACACAAAGAAATAGGCGTTGAGTTATGTAAAGACATTACCTAAAATATTCGGCCTCTAAATATTTTTTTATGAAATCAAGACAGAAAATTAATGAGAAAATAAAAGCATATTTGCAAAATTGTTACAAATATGTAGGATTTCTTTCTCGTTTTTTGCCTAACAATAACCTTAAAAATTATTTTTTTAAATTTCTTGAGCCTTTTATCTATAAAAAGTGTACAGGAAAGACATAAATATACCACCGTAACCAACGAAAAAAAGAGGGACTCCTAGTCCCACACTCTGGTTTTTAAATAAACTCTATGTAATTTAATGGTCGATGATTTTTGTAGGAAGATTTTTATAAAGAGGTAGACTGCGCAGGATTTGCTCTGGAAGAAATCAACGTATTCGTAAGTATCGTTAAGTTTTATTCGTCATACATCTTATTTAAATGATAGATAAAAGAACAAAAAAAATTATTAATAAAAATGACATAATATGAAAAGCAATAAATATACTCAATAAATTTTGTTTCAACTATAGGTCGAAGACAAATTAATCGTAGTCGAGGGTATACATAAAAAAGTGCAAGATGAGCACGGTAATGTCTATAAAAATTTGTCAAAGACGTTTCCCGTCTCTGAAAACTACGACTTCAATGATGCTCAAATAAACTTAGTCTTGGACGATACATTAACTATCTACATTCCTTGTAAGGTTGAGCCATCAGCGAATGAGAACTGTACCATCAAAAGTCTATACAAAAATGAACCAACTGAAGAAATATAACTTCAGTCAGAAAAATAATATTCTCATGGTATTTCATGATTTCATCTTTCTAAGGTTCTAAATAAATTATAAAAACTACAAGAAGCATTTAATATTTTTTATGTTGTTAAGATATATAACCATATTATGTCTTATGTATGCACAATTTCATGCAATAAATACACTCCCATGAAATAGTAAAATTTTATAGCGTGTATTAATAAGTCCTTTAGCAGAGAATACCGACTAATTTCTTTCCGATTTTATTTGTATATAATATTTGACAGAATCATGTAGTTGCAAAAAAATTGTTTATCATACGTTTCTAATACGAGACACAAAAAGCTTTATCTAAAAATAGGCAACAGGTATCCTAATAAAATATTACTAATTATTATATTTAACATGAGAAAAGAAATGAAGGCAAGCAATAATAAAGTAACGAATTAATACAATTTTTCTGTTACATTTAAACATAATAATATGCGTACATTATATCCTGAGGCAAAACCGACAAGTCAACAGCACAGGTAGTCTCAACTTATTTGTTGAAAGTCTGGCATTAAATTTCAAGTGAGGTAACAAAGTCAGATTATTTTATTAATTTCACATGATTCTAAGATGTATATTATGGTACAAGGATGTAACATGACAAGGGATGGCCTTGTCTACCACTACATGTGCGCTTACATAATGCCGACGCCTGTCCTCCCCCCAACAAATCTATTAGTGAGGTTTAGGATTTTAATGCTTTTTGCACGACAGATTTCCATAGATTAAACTTTTTCATAATTGATTTTTGTGATCCTATGTGTGTCGCACTACTTGATAAAGGACAGTGCTTTTTTTGTACAATAAAAAAATGGAAAAGAATGTATTTCAGCGCAGTGGCTTTCCTGTTGCCAATAAGGTCCCCTCTTGCTCAAATCAGACTGGAGTCGCCACTCTTCTTCATATGTTTTTAATATAAATGTACTGCCCCATGAGTTATGGTTACCTGCTATTTACTCAGGCCTCATAGTCTGTCTTGACAGTTTTACCAAAACCACCGCGCTGGGAAGGAACGATGCACATGGCCAGCCCCAGAGAACAGCCTGTGAGTAAACCTATTACATGTCATTGTAGTGCGTCAGTGTAGTAAATGCTCTGGTGAAAAAGTTGTAAACGTCACTGTTTCTTAAACAAAGTGGGGTGGAATGCTATTTGGTTCGACGCCCCCTCATACGATCCAAGCTGCCAGCAGCGGGATCTCCGTCAAGGTCTTGCACACCCTCGAGTAAGATTATCAATATTATTACTAGCTATTATTATTATGATTATTATTTTAATATTAATTACTCGTAAAATATATTTTTTGATATTCGTATTATTACTAATCTTGTCATCATTAGTGCTGTAATGACTAAAAAAAATAAAACATTAGTACCCTTAATACATTAGGTTTCTAAAAAATGAGGGGTAAAGGGTTCAGTTGTTGTTCTCCCGTTACTGATTTACTGCCAGATGCATTTTTAAATAGAGCCTTTATATATAAATATACAAATCATAAAGAGGTATTTTACGATTTTCCGGTAGCTAGATTTTCAACGTTAGGTGACAGTCACCTTCGATACTGCATTGAAACATCGGCTGCATATTTAAAGGAAAAATGAGTTATTTTTCACGAATTAAAACTCTTTCGTCGGCTGATGAATCTCGTAAAATTTATTGTACAGAAAGAAAAAACAAAAGATGATTTCTTCCAAGAAAATTGCAATTTTAAATTATTTCAATCATTGGGAAATCATATGAATTTGATGTACGTCGTTATTTAGCGTACGCCGGTGGTTTAACTTAAACGAAAGATTACTACATTTTTATACACAAAAAAACTTAAGTAAATGCATAAACTTTTTGTTATTAG